CGGCGCGGGCGGCGGCGGCAGAAGCTGAGGTTGCAGCTGGGGCAGCGCCCCCGGACGGTGGCTGACTCATGGCAGTCTAGGAAGAACCTACCGGATGCGACTTGGAACCGTCCATCTCTAGATCATTCTCGTCTCTCCTTTCTGCCGCCAACCTTCCTTTCTAAGCTGGGACGGGAATAAAAGAAGAGAAATATACAGTATGTTTATGCTGTTGCAGAGTCAAAGGTGAATTTTCTGGACAAGAGAAGCTGCAGAGAATTAGGAGATTTGGAAAGCCAGCATTTAATGATAACATTGACTAGGAAAAGGGTATACAGGGCTGTTAGTTCTCACTTTGTCCAAAGTGGCGCTGTTTCCATCTTATTCCATCTCAGTCAAAGGCAGCTGAAGCTTGCATTCACTGGGTATCAGGTTTTGGGAAGGGTTAGATACAGGTTCAGAAAGAAATGAATGGGAAAAGGTAAGGGAATGGGAAAAGGGGACAGAGGGATAAGATCTGGAATAGACTTTTGAAGACAAAGGAAATGTTTACATATGATAGTTGTCAAAGGACTTTCTTCAGCATCAAATCTGTACTTAAAACATAGTTTAGTGGAGAGAAGTTTTATTCAACTAGTATTCCCAGGTGTCAGTTAAAGAAACACGGTTATTATGCAAGATCCTAGAGAATATTTACTGTAGATAAATGACACTTTTCTCATTCAGCTCCAGCCTCTAATGCTGTCCTTAGATAATTATAGCCAACTTTCTTTAGAACAGAGCACAAAAGAAAATGTAAAGAGTGACTAGAAATCAACCCCAGGTCTCAAGAAAAAAAGTAACATCAGGAATCAGAATCAGTCACCTGTAACCTCAAAGAGATTTGGGGGTTTTGTAGCTTGAAAACATATTATTTTTTGGAAAATTTTATGAGCAGCTCTGTCTACAGGCTGTGAAGTTTTTAGTGATGAATTTGTCCACACTCACTTGTTCTGTTCTTATGAAGCACTGAGTTGTAGGTGCAGTGTAGAAAAGTTTCATACTTAAATATCTCCTTAGGTGGTATATGACAGACTAAGTTGACTCTAAAATGCCCAATCATGGACCTGGAGAGATGGCTCAGCAGTTAATAGCACTGGCTGCTCTTCCAGAAGACCCAAGTTCTATTCACAACACTCACATGGCAGCTCACGACTGTCTGTAACTCCCATCCCAGGGAATCTGACACCCTCTCCTGGCCTCCCTGGACACGAGGTCCATGTATGGTACACAGATATGCATTCAGACAAAATACTCATACACATAAATGAATTTAAATTTAGTAACGTTAGAATGCTCACACACTCCTAGGGAGCCAAATTTTGGAACAGAACACCCCGCACCCAGAAGGCTGTTCATCTTCCTTTATGGTGGGGTACATGGTGTTATCTTTCCAAAATAACTATTCTAGTTTAAACTGGAAAGCAGCAAACTACTACCCTGTGGGTTTTCCTTCTTAGTGACCCAGTCAGCTAGTTCATTTGGCCACTTTCCAGGAGAACATTATTTATCTACAAAACACAGGAGGGCCAGGATTAGACACAAATGTCTCTTAAACACACACACACACACACACACACACACACACACACACACACACACACACACCACCCCTTTAGGAGAGATGATTTCCCAGTATCTTACTTACATTATTACTGTTATTGTCTGTTGTAAGTATCTTAATTGAAGATGGGAGAGATGATTTCCCAGTATCTCACTTACATTATTACTGTTATTGTCTGTTGTAAGTATCTTAATTGAAGATGTAATCATTTCTCTCCCCATAAAGAAATAGTACCCAAATCCCCCTTTTCCATTTCCTTTTCTGTCTCTGGAATCTCTTTTCAACCCACTTGCAATACAAAGATAAACAAAAACTACTTCAGAGGGGAAAACAAAGTTATCCACTGCTAGAATGTCTGGCCTACTTTACCACGGGTCAGACTAATGTGGGCTATCCAATAATTATACTGACAATACAAAGTTATATTTAACTAAGCAGAACCACCCAGTAGCAGAGAAGCTGTGCATTGAAGCCCGACCCCCAGACTTCTTTAACCTCAGAGAAAACTTGGGTTTCAGGAACTAAGTCCACAATCTAAGGCACCTGGAGGCTGACACTTGCTCCTTAACAAAGTGACAAGGTACTGTATCCCAAGGCTTTCTCTAGTAGAAATCGCCTTCCAAGTAATTTCAGTAAGGGCCAAATCACCCCTTTCCACCTCAAATCCGATCTGTCCCAGGAGCCCCCTCCCCCCCCCCCGTTTCTTATCCTCATCTCTTTAGAAATCGAGAAGTTCTCACTTCTTTGCAGAGGTGCTGCTTCCAGGAAGTTGATGCAAATCAACACCGCTTTCTTCCTGATATTTCCGAGACCTCCGGGGTTATTTTTCTATCTTCACAGACAGAGTTCAACTTCGTAGTGTTACAAGAGACTTTCTTGCTGAGCAGGCTCGCTTGCATGGGATCCACACCCACTCGGGTTCTCCAAACAAAGGCGGTAACCACAAAGCCTTTCGGAACTCTGGGAGCCGGTTCCTAGCCGGCGATGCTTGGCTGGGCTGGAACTGCAACTGCAGCAGGCGGATGCTCCGGGTAACAAGCCGTGCCAGACGCTCCCCAGGAAGTGCAGCAGTATGCATGAGCTGACCTCACTGGACTGGGCTGGAAAGAGGGCGGGATTGGAGGGAGGACAGGAGAGAAGTAACCGGAGTGGTTACTTAAAGAGGAAAGAGGTGAGGATGGGGGACCAGGGTAGTAGCGGGTGGCAGGCAAGAAGACAAAAAGGCCAGAGCCACGCCCGAGATGGAGAATTATCAGCCTGGCTCATCAAAATCATTGCTCCACTCCCATTTCCTGTACTTGGCAGAAGACTCCCAAACCCCTTAAAATCGGATGTATTGGTTTTCTGCAAAGCTTTGTCTCGGGTCCGATCAATCTCCATCAATTATTTACTTGAGCTCTTTTCCTTGGGAGGCCCCTTGGAGCAGCCTGCATCCTTGGCCTGACCCTCTGGAGTCTCCCTGATGCAGCTGAGAGGCGCTGGCGCACGGCTGCCGGAGTTCTCTTTGTTCACTCACTTTAATTCTCAGTCGATCTCTCCACGTCTTCCCCACCCCCAGCTCGGGCGGAGTCCTGGGATGGCATTTCCGCCAATAGACAATGGTTGTCAGACCCGCCGTCCTACAAACAAAGGGTTCTTGAAAAGGTACGAAGAAACGACTAATTTAATGCAAACCGAACAAATATGAACTTCCAGGAAGGTTGCTGCTGATGGTTAAGTAGCACTGGGCACATTTTCCCTTCCCCTCACTAACCAGAGGCTAGTTTCTTCAGTGAAAAAAACTGGCAGTTTCAGAGATCCACATTTTTTTTTCTGTTGTGCACATGAGTAATAGGAGTCAGGAAGAATGTATGTATAAACTATCAGCTGAATAGGGATTTAAGAAAAATGTGTTTCCAGTTTACGTTTATCCATATTGTTCCAAGGTTATATTAAATTTTGAGGGAAATATTCTCATTTCCCTTCTGATTTTATTTTAAAGGGCAGGCTCAAGAGCCTCCTCTTTACCCCAAAAAATACCCTTGCAAGATTGCAGGTGAGAATATATTAACCTTGTATTAAAAGGGCATTTTTAGACGTGGATGGTTAAGTAGCACTGGGCACATTTT